GCCGGGCAGCGGAGGATGCTCGGGGCTGGAGGGGCGATGTCCCGCCCTGCGGAGGTGATGGGGATCCGTGCACGGACGGATGGATCCGCTGCACGCCGTCCATTCCTGCCGCCCCTGGGGGAAGCACCGCCAGGGCAGCGCTGGGCTCACCTGGCTGCTCTCCTAATGAATGAACTGCCTTTTTTTTTTTTCTTCTTTTTACAATTTCCCAATCGCAGAAAGTCGGGCAGCCTCTCTCAGCCTGCAACAACTGAGATGCTATGTTGAAATATATTGTGTCTTGATGGCATGCCTCAGGTTCGCAGGAGCGTTTTGTAATCTTCCTGGTGTCATTTCTCCCCAGGGTATTCTGCAGCTAGAGAGTGCAAGTTCCTGTGGTGTTGTAACTTTGTGGCCCTGTGTATACACGACAATACTATGCTGACTTAACAGGGATGCGTTTATTAATATCAGTGATGTAAGGCTGGCATTTATTGTGATTAAAAGCTCAGGGAATTATCAATTTCTGGATGTCCTGTGGCGCTTAGGTTCCTTTAAATCAGATGGATCAGTTATAATTCTCCTTGCAATAACCAGGAGTTTGGGTTGGATTTGTATTTGTGACTTGCTGCCCCATCTTTGAACAGGCTTTTGTTGTAGAACACGATTATAATGTTCCATTTAAAAATTTCTATTTTCTGGTAGCAATTAGTCCATCATTTAATAAGTGATTTACCTTTTAAAAGGTTACTGTAATTTGTTACTAGTTAACTAACAATTCCCAGTGCACACCAAGCGACTGTGACATATGATCCTCAGTGCTCTCCTTTGAAAAGAAGTTTCACATGGGGTGCCCTCATTAATATCAGAATTTGGTGCATCAAGTGATGTGTTTGACAACATTATTCACTTTGGCTGTCACCAAAAAAAAAAAAAAAAAGGTGCAAAAATTGCTTAGAGATTTAATTATGAGATTACAAGAAATCACTCTTAGCAGTGTGCTAAAGCATGTGGCACAATATAAGCATGGGCTTGTCAAGGGGAGAGTGAGCTGAAAAAAATAGTTGGCACTGACTTTGAATGATAACCAATCCGAAATATAATATAAACGTATTTTTACAGAGACAGCTTTTGAATTGGAGTGTTTTTAGGCATCAGTTTGGTAAAATATCTCACTAACTTGTAGTGGTTCAGAGATTCCATACTTCTGAACAGCCTTAAGATGGTCTGTGTTCCTTAGAAATGCCAAATTCCTAGACAATGCATTTAACATCAGCATTCAGTAAAACTTTCATTATAATGCGGAATAGACAAATAATATTTTTTCCTGATATAAATTTGTGTTTCCTATAATGAATTCTGATATGAAGGTGGTGAAGTATTAGAATTTAATTGAAGGATATTGAAGCTATGCCTTTTAACCTTCCTTATTGGACTGATAAATACACCCCTTATCAACAGTGCTTCTAAATCTGACCTTTTTGTGGACCTTTTAAAATAACCATAAGTCCATTTCAAAGTCAATAAAATAAATTTATGGGCACTTTAAATTTAAAGGCACTGTTTCAATTACTTTATATGTAATTTCCTACTTATAGTAATGGCTAATGAAATTAATTTTGAAATTTTGAAAACGATTTTATTGTAAAAACAAGAAAAAATTTCAAAGTAGAGTGAAAACTCTTGTCTTGTACAAAGCTGGACTAAATAATGAAAAGTAAACTTAATACTTTTTTTCACCTTGATTGGTGAGGCCCTCTTCAGGATTTTTTTAAAATATAATCTGCTTAGAGTGGAGTTGAATGTATTTCCTAGCCCTTTTTAGCAGCCTAACTGCGAATCACGAATTGTGCGTGTTTGATATTCAGAATCTGAGTTTCTTTTACAAGTTTTTTTCACGAGGGTTATTCCCATGTAAAAGTTGCCAGTGCAGTTACTCAAGAGGAATCATCCCAGAGTTACAAATTCTCCATGCTAGGTTCTTTTGAAGTCTTGGATACAATACTTTCCATTAGTTACTGCTTCTGGTTTCATTTTTAAATCACTAATAGGTTTATTCAATCCAGCCTGATTTTAGATGATAAGTGCTAATTATTTCCCTCTCTGTTTCCATAATGGTGTGCAGCTTTTTAACAGCAGGATCTGGGTTTCAGGTACTTTATGCCAAATGTTCTTTGTGTATCAGTTCACTTTTTGTGAACTCACAAGAGAAGGAGTTAGAAATAATCCAAAGCAAGAGAAAATTGTCCTCAGGTCCTGCTCCTCATGCCACAAACAGAATTTGGGGGTTCCCATTAACAGGTCAATTTTAAGGACTTCATTTACAGAGTACTTGTGGAAAAAATCTCCTCCTTGCCCCCGTCTTCTTCCCTGTGGAGGCTTTTCCAAGGCAGAATGAGAAATGAAAGAGCCGTAAGATTTGTCTTTGGTTTCTCAGGAATATAAAACATAAATTGATTCCTGCATTAAATGATAAACCTTTTCTATTTCTTTTGTCTCTTCCCCCCCTCCACTTTTTATTTTCCACAAAGGGAAGAGCCCAGGGAGTTTTTTCAGTTGTACTTGGTTTTAAACGTAGGGTAGTCCACCTTTTCCCAGTGGTGCTGCTGCTTTCAGGTTCCAGGGACAATGTAGAAAATGCTGGTGCTAAGCAAATTATCACCCTGGTACTTAGCCCTGTGGTGAGTGGGCTTGGGATACTCCCAGGTCTTGCAGGTATAAGGAAATAAAAGGAGAAAATAAATGTGGCAACCATAGGAAGCATTCGGTTTCTACTTCAGCATCAGCTCTTCTGCTGCAACATGGACTTTCCTCTTCCTCCTGCTGCAAAGTTGTCGCCCTTCTCACACTGCAGGGCAAATTAGAATAAATCTGTCGTAGAGTTTTGCTCTTTAAATTAAGAGGGGGGTGGAAATGAAGCAAGGCCTATTCTGCACTCTTCCTATCTGGAAACTTTCGCAGAACTGAAGTCAGTTTGATGATGTTCACATTTTTCTCCCACTCCACCCACACCTTCCATTATATTATTTGGCCTGTTTGCCCTCTCATAAACCACTCTATAGAACTGAACTAAACAATGACATCATTCTCCAATTAAAATTCATGATACATGAACTATATAGATATTTTTAATTACCTGTGTTGCAGTAGTACCGAGCAGCCTATTCAAGACTGGGGCCATCTTCTTACTCAAATGAAATAATTGCCCCTGTTCTCAATACTCTGTGATCTAGGACATGAGAATGCAAAGAGTTCCCCATTTGCAATGGAGAAACAATGTAGGAGGGAGATTGAGGCAAAAAATGAAATCAGAAATGTCAGTGTGTCCATTTATGCTTGCAAGAATAAATGATGCTGACAATGGTCATAGATTCTAATCAGCATTATGGAGCTAGGGATTTGTGTAATAAATCCCCAAATTTGCAGCAAGAAACACCTTGACTTCTAAGCAGTATTCTCTTCTCTTCTCTTTACTTGGCAGTTTCTCAAGCTTTCCCTGGAAATAGGAAAACTATCCCCCTTAGACAGGGGAGGAGAAGGAGCCACCTCCAAAGCCGGGTTGTGAATTTCTGGAATGGACTAGCAGGAGATGCTCTGTGGACTTGCATCAGCCACCCCCTCTCCTCATGACTAAGCAGATCTCCTCCATGCCATGCAGGCTGCACATTCAGGACAAAGTCTATGAATTCAAGTCTCTGAATCCCAAAGTCTACTCTGCTGGTTGATAATTAGCAATTTACAAAACACAAAGCTGCCGCAGCTCCGGGGATGTATGTCCAGCACTGCATGGCTGCCGGGGTGAACACAGGTGTGTGCTTCTGGACATGCTTATAGGGGATGTGTGTGTGTAGGGAAGGGATTAAGCCTGTGTTAGGAATGGCTTCCTACTAATCTCAGCGGTGCTGAAAGGCTCTGTGTAATTTCTGATAACACACAATAACAAATATTAGGTAATATCCCAACAGAAAATATACAGAACACTCCACGCTAGCAAAGAAACTTCTTGGTTTAGTGGAGGATGCATAGGATCTTAAAGAGAATAAAATAAATCCTAGCTTCCTTGAGGTCAGTGGTGGATGTGCTGCTTCAGTAGGATCAGGTTTGCAGTGATAAAAGTTTAGCCCTGTGTACAGTTTGCTCCCATGCAATTACTGCTGAATTCCTGCGTGGCTGTGGGTTTAGCAGGCTCAGAATTGAGGGTCGACTCTGAAGGAATTGCTGCTTGCTCTGTGAGACTGAATGCCTGAAATTAAATAACCATGAGTATGTGCTACAGCTAAAGTGCTAGATATTCTTCTTTAAAACTTGTAAGAAATGCCAGTGTAACAGGAGGAGTTATTTGTCTGCCTTTTATGTGATCAATTTCTTAACGTATTTCAACTCCAAATGAAACGCCAACGTTTCGGTGCAGATGTTGCAGTTGGTATTAGTTTATTCCAGACTTCAAATTAGGCATGAATTCTCCTTTTGGTCTTCTAACAGCTATTATTATGCTATTATAAAATAGTCTGCTTCGTGCTGCTTTATGGGCTGTTGGAATTTCATGAGCTCCATGGGGATTGGTGTCTTTCCTTTTTATCACAGGTTGGATTTGACATATTTTAGATTCCTTTTTGCCAGAATCCTCTAATTTTTATAGACCTCCACTCCAATTCCTCCAACTCACCTATGTGTATAAAATTCTAAATATGTGATTTGCACCCAAGCACCTTCAGCTGTATGGAATATTTATAGGGCAAGGCAGAGCAGTGGAAGATTTCTTATTGCATCTTGTGTTTTTCCGCCGAGTTTCAGCATTTACTTTGCAGAGAATTTCATATTTGCACAAAGCAGTCCTGCCCAGAATTATGATCTCGTCTTAAACTTTTTACACAATGCATGATTACACCGCATTGCATAAAATGGGATTTTTATGTTATGATATTGCATGAGAAGTCCATAGTACTTGTGTGTTTGTTTAGATTTATTGAACAGAGAGGTTGTGTAACTGCTGTTAGTATTTGTGGCTGTGTAGCAGCAATTTTGGAGTTTGAGAGGCTTTGAACTCAGGCTGCCAGCTGTATGCCAACAGACTGATGAACATTTTCACTCCCTGTGCTAGGGGAATATTTGAATATTGCTGTGAACTAAGTGCTCAACCATAGTGCTGTGAGAGAGATGTCAGGCTACCAAAAGGCTCAGATTGTTCCACCAAAAAAAGGAACTATGGAAAGAAAAATGTTAATTACAGGCTTTAACACTCACACCAAGATCTTCTAGTAGGGGTGGTCAGAAAAACAGGTTTTACTACCTGGACCTGGTGCTTTGTGGTGCTATCTAATATGGGGGCTTGTGGAAAAATGCAGCCACTTCTATTTACTGCCTTTCATAATGTACATATTTCCTCATGATAGGTTTAGGTCCTGACTTTTTATGTCTACAGTAAATAAAACTGAGAGTTTATCCTTTCATCTCAAATGTGTTTTCCTTGGAGTTGCTGTTCCCTACAGTGGTATTTCAGCTACAATATTTTATGCTGAATCTCAGTTTTTAAGCTTCATAGAAGCATGTTATTATGTGGTACATTGCTAAATTGATTTTTGATCCTACCTATGAATGTAAAAAAAAAATAAGAAACCCAAATTTTATTTTCAGTTACACCCAGAGAAATCTATAGATAAGCAAGTACAGAAGTACATGAGGGCAAAAGGTTGCTTTATTTACTCAGAGTTTATCTGTATTCTCTAAACTTATTCAGGACCATATTCAGTGAGAAATTCTGAAGAGTCCACAGCAGAGGGTCTCGTTCCCTTCAGGGTGAGGAAAAAATAAAATATTTATTTGTTTTCTAGCAGGTATTATGTGTAAAACTAAGTTCTTGCACTGACTTAATGATGCCATGCTCCAATTCCCCTAAAGGTAAAGTGAGAGGGGATGGATTTATTTCATGGAGTCACTAAAATTCTGCAAGGGTTTCACTGTTTTTCTTCTCTTTTGTCACTCCCAGATTCCAACATTTGCCCTTAATCTGCATATCTGAGATGCCTTGTTTGTACATCAAGGCATGATAACGTATGTGGGGATTGAAATCATTAGAAATACTAAGAAAAACAGGCAAGTGTTTTATTGCTTTTCAATATCTCCTAGTATTGGCAATATAAATTGAATTTTACAAATGAGTGAATATTTGAGGGTGCTTTGAGGTGCAGACTTTCTGAGTTTTGCCTAGAACAACATTAGAGAATGTGGAAACAAAAGTTCTGCAGATGTGCTTTCACTTTCACAATTTCCAGCTGTTGCTGAAGATGGTTTGAGATGATAAACAAGATGAAACTTTAAGCCTTATCTAAAACAAAAGGGTTTCACATTAAATCAGTTCTCTGATTGAAATAAGCACCATTTAAAAGGTTTATTTTCCTGCATTTGGTTTGGGTGTTTTTACATTTACACTACAGCTATTGCCAGAATTGCTGAACTGGCCTGGAGTGGATTCTTTAGTAAAGATCTCATCTAAATAGGAATTGTTCATTTGACTACAGAACAACTTTCCAAATTGGTGCTACAAAAGATTCAGGTCTTGAATTTAAAATAGGAAAAAAGCAAATATTCAAGAATTCCATTGAAAGGCTCAGGTTTTTTTACCAATGGTTTCAATATATTTCTCATTAGTAGGGGAATGCAAAATAATTTTTAAAAATCTGATGGAAGCCTAATTAGTAGTTCCTACCTTGTTTCTTTGGGTCATTATTGTTATTATTATATTAATAATAGTAGTAACAATAAATGCTGCTGGAAGCAAATCCCACCCCTGCTTTGCCAGCTTTTGGAGCATTATTTGTGATGTGAGCTCCCCAGCTGTCCCAAACTGCTGGATTGTTTTTGTGACACGGGGAGGAACATTAGGCCAGGATGAGCAGGAAACTCAGGAGGGTTCCTTGCACGCCTTCCTTTGGGCACTGCCCAAATTTTGTTCCTCGTGTGGCCAACTTTACCAGGATATCTATTGTGTTCCCAAAATCTGCTCTGGTGTCAGGCTTTTTGCAGGAATCCAACCCCTTGGATAAAACCCACACTTGAAATCCTTGCACTGCTTCGGGTTTTTAGACAGGGTAACACACCAGGTTATGCAAGCTGCATTCTGACACAGGTAATGACATTTGAGGAATTATTTTCTTAGATCAGGATTACTGATTTATTAAGAAACAGTGATTACAGCACAGCTGGCGTGGGCAGGAATTCTTGACAGCGCTTGAAGTGCTGGGAAACCCTTCAGCAGCAAGAGCCCACTTTTCCTACAGCAAAGATATTTTCTTGTAGATGTCGTCTTGAAAAAATTTCGGCAATGAAAATTGTAATCCAAAAATAGAATATTAAAGATCTACATGCTAAATTTGTATCATTTGTATTAAAAAAAAAAAAAAACACTCAGCAGGAGAATGTCAGAGTCCACAGTAACAGGCCCCATTATGAAACGAGTCTATCGCTGTTTTCATTGGTATCTGTCAATTTTTTCATGAGTCACAGTTTTGTTGAGAAGGGCATTTTTTTATGCAAGGAAAGAGTTGCACACAGCACAGCAGCACTGTGAGCTGTACATAATCTGCTGTTTCATCCTTCATGATGTAACAATGAGGATGTGGAAGTCATGTGCACTTCTTTCCATTCTTTTTTTGGTGCCAAATTCGAGTAGGTGAGAGATCAGACAAAAAGCCAGAAAGCTGCCGTGTCTTTTCTCAGTTCTGCTTTTAAAAGATAACAATATTACCAGTGCCCTCCTCTTTTCTAATATTCATGAAACAGAATTTATGCAGAATAGGTGGAGTAATGTGCAATGTTAGGATTGGCTCTGGCTTTTTTAATCTTGTGAAATAGCAAGATTATCTTTAATCTTAATAGAGGCTACTGGTGTGCAGTGTGATTAGATTAATTGCAGTGGTGGATTAGGGCAGGGATCGAAGGCCAGTGTGGGACTTTGGAGGCCCAGCAGAGCAGAGAGTTGGGGAAATGGGAAGAAGCTGACCACAGTGAATATCAGGAAAGGAAATTAATTAATTAATTAATTAATTAAAGGAAATGTCAAAGGAAGGCAGTGGGCAGATTAGTGATGCCTGCTGAACTTCTTTATTTACTTAGACTTTTTAATTTTTGCCAATGGACGTATTAAAAACCGGGGGAGTTCTTTAAAAAAATACAGATGTTTGAATTTCATTCTCAAAGCTTAAAGTTTATTGTTGGAACCCTCGTGATTTTGAATTCTTTTCTCTGGTCTCCTATGAGATTTTCAGCTTTTCTTGGTTTCAGATATGCTGACAATGCCATAACGTGGTCTTGCACTGTATTTTGGCATCCCTGCTCATTGTTCTTTTTCTGCCCAAGTTCGCTCTGTTTTTTAAATCTAGCCTCACTCATGACTCCTCTGAGAGCAGGAGCTGTCTGATGTGCTAACAACAAGTGACAGCTTTGCTGTCTCTGGGGACACCGAGTGTTGCTTCAGCGAGGTGAGTTCCCAAAAACAAGAACAATAATAACAAGAACTGCTCCATCTCTGCGTTTGCTGTCCTGGAGCGTGCCCACGTCCTGTGACGCAGGCTGGGCAGCAGATTCCTGTCTCCTCCCCTCTCCAAGAACAGGAAGGCACAGCACAATGTTAGAAAGCATGTGGCAATTCTGAATTTCTGCTCCAGCCTGACCCTGAGACGCGAGGGCGGCTCTTTTGTCGGCGCTGGTGGAAGTGCTGGGCTGGGGATCAACACAGAAAGGCAGAGGGAGGGGATCGGGACTTCAAGAAAAAAAACCAAAACCACAACAAATTGCTGGAGGAATAAAGGGAAGAAAAAGGTGGAGGGGAATAAAGGAAGAGAAAGTAGAGGGAACCTTTAATTGTCCTGGAAGGAAGGCAGGAAAAAGCAAGGAGGAAGAAGAAATTGATGGAGCATGGTTGTCACTTCCCTGACAATTACTCCAGGAAAGGCTAATGAATGTAGTAATTATACCTGGCATTACTCTGTGGAAGGAAGGAATTCTCTGGAGTGATAGAGAACTCATTGAGCTACGAATATGGAAATGAAATAAATGAAATAAAGACAATGGAGGCTAAACACTAAATGGCACTGTTGTCTACTTCCAGGGTGTCATTTTAACTGTTGTACAGCCCCTAGAAGAAAACATCCTCTGAGTAAGAATTCCTGAAATTAAATCAGAGAAAAAAATTGGGAAATACACTGTGGAGGAAAATGTGGCAGTGGGAAGAGTTCCTGACAGAGCCTATAGGATTTTCCACCCTGCATCTTCTAAAAGCCATTCTTCAGAACAGGTTCCCTTATTCCCTATGGTGCAGAGCAGCAAATCTGATGAAAAGGGAGTTTTCCTCTATATCCATGGAGAATGTGGATTATCCTAAAAGCTGGAGGTAATTGTGAGGTGCCAGTATGTTGTTCACTGTTCTCAGAGTAGGAGATGAGATCAATATGAATAATTATAAATATGAATAATTATAAATATGAATACTTATAACTGCTTTCCAGTTCACTGCAGTATTGCCATTCTTATGTTGTGGAGTCTTGAAGCAGCAAAATATTTCCTGTTTTTATGAGACATGAAGATGGATGGGTAAATGCCTCTCCTGGATGGCAACTACAGGAATTTGATCATTATCGAGAATGGAACTTGTATTTTAGAGTTTTCCATCTCTACAGGGGTTTCTGCACAGATATTTCACTGAAATGAACTTCAAATTTGGAAAAAAGGGGTCAGTGCCTTTCTTAGTGCTCAGTAAAAGGGTGTGCAGGAGGAAAACATCTTTGGTGAGATTTGGGAGAGCCTTGTTCAGGTTCTCAGTGGTGCTGAACACCTCCAGAGCTGTGAGAGCCCACCCCAGGTATCCCCAGCAGAAACTGGGACCACAGGTAGGGAGAAAAGCTGCTTCACAATCACACAACTGAGTGGATTTGAGGACAACCAGAACAAAACCCCAAAGCCATGATATTCCCCAGTCTCACTGAACACAATGAACCCTACCAGTAAATCAGAGTGCTGGAGTTTGGGTGCAGGAAGTGGAATGTACAGTGGATCCATTCTTAGAACTGTCCCTGCTCCAGTTTTAGCTCAACTAATTAAGAGCCATTCAGTCACTTCCCTGAAATAATCTGAGAGCCAGGGGACCATGGACCCTTTGCAAGAGGCCATTTACAAATTGCCACCCAGTTTGGCAATGGGAGTGGGCCAAGCATGGCCAGAGTGGGAGCCCTGGTGCCCTTCAGTTTTTGGGAAGAGTTGAAGTGGGAACAGCTGAAATGCCTTTCAGATTTGTTACCATTTCTTTTGAAGTTTCTTCCTGCCCTCAGAGCAGGATGATCTGTGCTTGATGTTCCACTCATGGATTTTTTGCTGTAAAAGATGAGTGATTTGTAATGTGGAGATGTTTCTAAGAAAGCTTGTGGCACATGAGACAGAAACTGTATATTTGGTAAAGCAGAGGTCGGAATTTCATGAGAAGAAAAATCTCTGTAGGTCATTTTATTCTGCATTGCCTGTTCATTTGGCTGCCATGTAAATAAATAAATAAAAGTAATAAAGCCCAAAATCTTTTAAATTACTCCAAATTTTTGTCACCCCTGGTGAAACAACAAGTTCCAGGAGCTTGTGATCGCAAAATTCTTTATGTATTATCTGTCCTGAGCAGACGTTAGTACAATACTTGTACATGATAGAGTCAATGCTCTGAAAAATAATTTGAGTTTTTTATTGGTCTACTGTCTGTTCCAAGAACTAGAGACAACATTGTAACTCACCTGTAAAGGATATATCACCAAGTGTTTGCTCTGGAAATTCCTCCTGGCTCCAGTGAAAGCGCAGAGGGCAAACAAAGTTCTGGAAAGTGTGCACAGGGTGTGAGAGAAGGGCTTAGACCTGGGTTTAATTCATGGCTCTGGTCCTTCAGGGCAGCCTGAGCTCTGCTCAACATCTCCTGCTTGGAGTGGCATTGCAAGGACAGCAGGGCCACACTGGCTGATTTGCCCCAAATTCAACAATAAACCACGGAATTTTAATGTTGTGGTTATTAAATGGAAAGCATTTTACACAGAAGTGTAAAATCTAAAAGATGAAGGTGTGTTTTAACACCCGAAAATTTGGGAGCTAAAATATTTAGACAGTGTTGGCACTATTTTAAATTTCATTTCTGCCGTAAAAGTTGATAAATATTTTAAGTCCTTTCAGCTCTGTTACCATTGATTCAGTTAAAGGAGCTGAAATTATCGTGTTTTGTTGAGACTTAGAAAAGAAACTTCAAGAACCTTTTATAGACAATTAAAGAGGTGAAGCATTCAAGAAGAAATACAGAATAAGCTGTAAGGTTTTTCAAAATAATGAGACATTGACTTCATAACAAAAATCAGGCAATTCAGGGACTCAAAGCGCAATTTCAGATGAAAATTTTAATATTTTAACTTCAAATAATTCGCTGGCAACCTCAGAGACAGCATAGAGAGGAGGAAACTCTGTTTACCTTTGTAGGGGCATTGTCTTGAATGGAAAACCAGAGATGGGGAAAGCATTTATTTATACAGGAAAAATACCCCAGCACTCCTCAGGCCCTTTTGTCATTCTTAATTAAAGAGTAACTTTTAAAGGAAATCTTTAAAGACAAAACTTGTCATTTTTAACCCACCTCAAACTGGCTACACTGAAAGAAGGTGGATTTAGGTTGGATATTAGAGGGAAATTCATAATTAGGAGAGAGGAGGCCCTGGCTCAGGGTGCCAAGGGAAGCTGTGGCTGCTCCATCCCTGGCAGTGCCCAAGGCCAGGTTGGACAGGAATTGGATCCACCTGGGACAGTGGGAGGTGTCCCTGCCCATGGCTGGGGTGGCACTGGGTGATTTTTGAGGTCCCTTCCAACCCAACCCATCCTGGGATGCTGTGAAGTCATCACCTGGTTATGTGTGCTGGGGCAGCAGCACAACCACAGCCATTCCAACCTGGAAGAGTAATCCAGAAAAGCAGAGTTCTGCAAGATCTTTTCCTGTTTTCTGAACCTTTAGGGCACATTTTTCAAATTTTCTTCGCCTTGGAAAACCTTGGCTAAAATGGGAATTAAACCATAAAAATGGATATCTGGTGTATTAATACCAAATGAAAATTGTCGTATTTACCTGAGCTGAAATGGGAATTAAACCATAAAAATGGACATCTGGTGTGTTAATATCAAATCAAAATTTTCCAACTTCAATGGTTTGTAATAAGACTAAGAATAACACAGAAGGAGAAAGAAAGGAAATAATGTGGGAATTATTGTGGCTGTTGAAAAGTGTTGCTCTGTCCTTATCCAAATAGTTCTTTGATCAGTAGAACCAATTCCCTTTGTTTCCTATGAATATGTCTCTTTGGAATTCCTCATTTAGATTTTTTTGTATTTTTTTTTACAAGTTGAGCTCAAATCGTTGCTCTTTCAGTGGTGACACCAACAACAATTTCAGCCCTTTGTGTTCAAACTCTTCCACATTTTTAGTCAAAAAATCGAGTTTCTAAAGCCCTTGGGATGAAGAGAAAGAGCCCAACAAAGCCACGATAGGAAACAGTGAATATTACAAGCTTTTTTTCTTTACAATGATGTTATCAACTGAAAAATTATTTTTTAATGGGCATTATATGAATCAATCTGTTAAACAAATATTGGTGTTTTAGAATGTGTTCCAAAATCTGCATACCTTTGGGATGTGCTGGCCAGCTTCTGGAGCCACTGAAATTTGGGACTTCTTAGGAAGTTCCTCGTTTCAGAATGAGGCTGGATCAGAGTATTTTACTACAAGGAATTGGAAGCACCAGAAATCCCACAGGGAAACATTTCCCTTTTGGTAAATCAATCATGGCTTCCAGAGCAGAAGGCCCAGAAAGGCATCTGAACATTTCCACTTAAGTCTCCACTACTTTGTCAATCTTTTGAATTTCCTTCCTCTGTATCTGAAGCACGAGCTGCTATTGAAAAATTGTTTCAAATCATCAATTCATAGAGCCTGAAACTTTTCCAAGAGAATAAAAAAGCAGTTTGTGGCCTCTGGGAGAGTCAATTCCAGGGTTAATTTATAACTAAAACAAATGTATCTATAAAAAGAAGAAAAGCTCCATAAGAAATATGTTAACAAATGACAAGAAAAAAGAGGCTTGATAAAAGATATCAGGACTTGTTTGGCACCAGTGATTTTATGACTGAGGAATTCAATTATAGGTGTGTTGGGAGTAGCAAATCACAATCCTTTAAATTACTAATGGGAGACAAAGCTCTTTATCATGGCCTGAATGTGTTCACATGAAATGTTCAGTCCTGCCCTCTGTAAATAAACTTTTAGTGCTCACACTATGCATCTGCAGTGGCCCTGTGTCAGCACAGTAAAAAAGATACTCAATGTCTGTTGAATCACTCTTCAAACACTGCTGCATTAGAAGTGATGTTATCCATTCGATCCCTTCCTGTAAGCAGGGAGAGTTCAGCTGGCCGTTCTTCCTGCAGTGTTTGTCTTTTCCTGGTGGGTTTATTGGCAGGAGGGCTGGCTCTGTGTGACCTCAGAGGGCTCCCAGCCACAGGCAGCCCGTGCTATCGGCAGGGATTTGTTTGCCCTCTTGTTGGACACACGAGTGTCACAGAGCTCTTGGGCTGGTGATGCAGATAATGACTTTGGACTTGCCCAGGAGAGGCAGATTAGGCGGGGATCAGCTGCGGGTTAAGCCGTGCCTAGAGCCTGACAGGCTGACACGGTGGAAGGCTGGCTGCTGTGCTGTCTGACAGCCCTGAAGGAGGAAGGGCTGCTGGAAATGAGAACCGAGCTGCTGGGGAGAGCCCCTCTGCCAGCTGGGGCAGGGACATGCCAGGGGAAGTGCCAAGGAAAATGCCAGGGGCTCCTTCCCAGTGTTCCAGGGCTGGGCATCGCTGCCGGGCTGCTGCAGACACGGGAACTCGGGAAGCAGCGGGGCCACGGCAGCTTCCTTTGGATCTCTGCAGGGTTCTGTGCCTCTGTCATTGCCATGACCTCCAAACCCTCCCTTTTTACTGGGCCATCCTTGGAGGAGTGTTTCATGCACGGTGCCCACCCCAAACCATTAAGCCAGCCAGTTATACGAAAAATAATTCACTTTATTTCATCATCACTTCCTTTTCTTTTGGCTTCTGTATAGCTGACAGCAAACATTGTTTGCCTAGCAAAGGTTCAATGCACAGAACTTCCTCCCTGAATATCCAAAAAAGCAAAACGTGTAATTCTTTTTGGTCGTCTCTTTATTGGCCAAAAGTTTCTACTTTTGGTGGGAAAATTATTCTCTCCTAAATACGAACTTATTAACGGTTGCTAGTTTTTTACCATCTCGAGCATTTGAAAATTTTAAAATATAAGCAACATCATTCAACTTCTAGTTATCTAACTAATTCTCTTCGTTGGTTTCATTGACATAGAGGCAAAAAGACTAAGAAGTGTTGGAGCACCCCTGTCTTAACCTATCAAAAATGTTTATTATACGTAATATATAGTAAGTATTTAACCACTGTGATTGGTAGCTGGTAATCAGCCCTTAGCACTAATTTTGATGATTAATTTTATAACTTCCTGCTTTTAGATAAGGTTGATGAAATCCCCAGGAAGTGTGTGAATTTCTGAGACAAAATCTATATTGTGAGGAGGAAAAAGCAGTGCTGTAGAGATATTCCATAAAGGAATAGGAATGTACTCCAGAAAGCCAGTGCTGCCCTGGTGCTCTGAATGCAAGTCCACAGGCCTTAAAACTCCTCAGAGTTTACTCTCAGATGACACTGGGGGGGGGGGAAGGAAAGGAATAAAAAGATGAAAGATTCAGGGAAATACCTTTGTTAAAATTCTGGGGTTTTTTTGGTTAATTCCCTCTCAGGCTCTAGGAATGCACTGGATGTCTGTCAAGCCCACGGGGCTGTCCATGCTGTAGAAATGTATGAATTTGTCTCTATACAGAGCTGCCATTGCTCTTTTCCTTATCTGTGAAGGAAACACAGCAACTCCCACTGGGGAAATTTCATCTTAACTTGATCTTAAAATAAAAAAAATCAAGGGAAAGGTCATATCCTAATAAGCTGTGCAAATCTAAATTCCCAGGGAGCTTCAAAATGACATTGTATGACTAGGGCATTAACAATTTTCCAGCATGTATTTTTGAACTGCTTACAATAGTGGTTTTAACATCCCAGAACAAATAGGAAAAGCAAGACACAACTGGCAAGATGTGAGCTCCGGCTGAGCAGTGTGATTCACAGCACGTGGCCATTGATAATCCAGGGGAGCTGACAAACACGCTGCCACTGGCAACTTTCTCTGCTTCCATTGAGATGGAGATCGCGGCAGGAAGCTTTTCATTCTCACTCCGTGTGTTGCTGTGGTGTCAGGATCAATAGTTTGCGCTTTTCCCCCCGATCTCACATTGCAGAGCAGCGATTCCCTGCGGTTGTCTGAGGAAGGGGAGGTTCGGTGTGGTGCCTGCATGCTCTGAGTGTCTGTGTTGGTGGGGATTTTTGGGTTGTTGTGGGCAGAGATTAACCAGGAGAGCCGGCATTCCTGTTCAGGACAGATGCTGCCATTGGTGTCCTGCGAAAGGTAAATGAAGTGAGCTGGCGGAAATTTTACAGCCAGGTTCAAAGGATCCAGTATTTGTCTCCAAATTATCTTATCTGACTCAGTGGCCATATATAGAGAAAGCTGTAAAAAAATAATCCCTAGCTCTGAAATGAGCCAATTCTAGTGGCAGATTACATCAGAAACATTGCAGAAATCAGAAGTAGACCAATTTCTGATTGTATTAGTTCTGCACACCACACCACAGAGGTTCCAGCAGCCCATCCCTTGTGTGGGGAAGGTGTGCCCTCAGGTTAACACTGACTGCTTGGAGCCCCGTGAAAACCAGTCTGCTTTACAAATATTCTGGTGCCTAGCCTAATCTGCGATGCTGTAGTGATAGCAGAAAGTGAAGGTGAGAGATCAGCACCGGGCTCTAAATTCACAAACTCTGCCAGTTTGGGTGGGTGGGATGGAATTGGATCAATGTTGTGCTGGTTTCACATCCCTCCACACCCAGCACATCTTTGCTGGTGAAGAGTCACCAAAGCTGCTGCAAAATAATCGCCCAGTTTGTACAGAGTGTAGGGATAAGGTCTAAAGCAGATGTTTCACCTTTGTTAGCAAAGGACAGGAAGGGAAGGGAAGGGTGGGGGAGGCACTCAGCTGCTGGAGACCCCCTCTGATCTCCTGGATTGGAGGTGATCCCAAGGTTCCAGGGCGAGCTGTGCATCAGGGGGGTCTCACCCTGATCCTCAGTGCTCTGTGACACTCCACCTCACTGGATGGAATCCAGACGTCCCTTCACAGTTTGCTTTTTTGCTGACATTCTCAATAGTGTTTTAATGTGATTATTTTTAACTCCAGCTGGATCTTTAAAGAGATCGGACCGGCAGCAAATGGAAATTTGTAACTATTGAGATTTGTTTGGCAACTAAAGAAAACTGAGGACAGTAAAAAGTGCCAGGAGCTCACCCTCAGTCTGCATCAGAGGCACACGTTCAGCTGTTCACACGCCTGCTGGAGGGGTTACACAAAGTCACAGCAGTGACTTCTAGTTCCTCACACCAAACTTGCTTGCCTAGAAAAGGAATCTCCTTAAAAGAAAAATGGGTATGACAGCGATCATTTATTGCAAAGTTAACTGTTGGTATTCTGGCTCAATTGAAGATAAGTTGCTGATTTCAAAAGAAAACAATCCAGTTATCAAATATGCCAGAGTCTATAGGCAAAACTGCAGTGTGTGATTTGTGATTTGTGTGTGAGATTGGCACATGTATTTACATCTTTAATCTAATGTATTTAGATTAAAGAAATATAGTTACACATAATTATTCAAAACAGCCCTTCTCAGGAAGTTAATTAATATATTTTTCAGTAGAAAAAAAAAAAAGGCAAGAAATGAGCTATCAATCTTATCAATCATAGTATTTAACTCTACATTTTTTGCTTGAATTGTGGTGTATCCTTATATTGATCACAACATGAAACTGAAGGATTTGCTGTTAGCTGCCCTCTTAGATTCCTTGCAGAAGAAATTCCTACAGCAATTTAAATATAGCAAAACCCAAGACGGTGACAAGAACACATGACAAAGAAGGGAACTGAAATTTTCTCAATCTCTTTCTTCCCCTCTTTTTAGTGCTGTTAAAATTTAACACGGCTGCTTTGCTGGTACCATTATTGTTAATGTTGCATAACCCTATAATTATTAATCTTTTTGAAACACTGTTAGAACTTGATTATACACTTTTCTCCTCAAGTGAAAGCAGCAAATGCTGTCAAAGCCAGGATGGCAGTTGGGGTTTTTAATGAAAGCAGGGGGGTTTCCATGGGCTGGCATCTCTGTGGACACTTGTCCTCTCATCCTCAGACTTTCAGAGGATTCCAAATCCGTGGGGGCAGAGCTGGATGGGGCACACTGAGATTTTCTGACACTCCACTCTCTCCACAACACTTCTGTGCAAAACACGAAGTGCAGGGCTTTACTGAGGCAGTCAAGCACTGGTAGATTCTTTCCAGCTGCAAACAAATCTCCAAAAATGACTAGTCGGGATTAGCTGTTAAAAATAGCAGAATTGTGAAATTAGACATAAATAGCTTTCTCCTGAGCCGTTCTGAGCTGTGGATCCTCCGCTTTCCGTTTGTGTCCTCAAATGATGTCATTTTAACTCTTGAACATTTCTTGTCAAAAATAGCAAGGCCAGTTCCCATCTGCCTTGAGCAGAACGACTGGACAGTGACAGTGGCCCTGGGACTGTCACCACGTGCTGACACTGTGGGTTGAAGATCACCAATATTAAGAAGAATAACATCACAGACAGTTTTTTAAATGTTTGGTTTATTGCAGAGGCAAAGAACAGTAGCAAAAGCCATGGAATTCTGTTTATTGGCAGCCACAGATATTTAAACACATATTTAAGCTCATATTTAAATAACTATAAATACAAACAGCCCCTGCTTTGGGGATGAGGGACACTTACAGGAGTGACCAGCAGCTCACAAGTGTGGAATCATTTTCCACACCTTGGCAGGTGAAAATGTTTGTTCCTTCATGGAACAAACATGGAACATGGAACCCCCTTCCATGGGGGTTTTGGAATAATTTGACTTTAAAATAGACAGGCTGACAAAAGTAGGAAAAAATCATATCAGGCATATTCTTAGGATATTAATAACACAGAGAAAGAATAACCCAGCAGAAAATAAGATCAAAGAAATTTCTTCCTTTTAGTTTTCAGACACATTATAAAATCCAAAAACCATGCCAGATACCTTATTAGAAAATCCAGTAGGTTTTTGAAACTGTTACAAAGTCAGGACTTTGTAGAATTTCACATTAATGTACCATTATGCAGGTTATATTTAAGTTCTTTTTGAAGTGCATTAATGATTTTTAAATTAAATAAAAGATGAAATCGTGTTCATTCCCCACAAATATTTTGTCTTTTTTATTGTTATAAAAGGGCTGCGGGGGGAATATTCATCTTTTAGTTCAGGTTCAGACAGCACTTCCCCATTGTGTTTTCAGTAAGTTACTTCTGTGTTCTGAAAAGAATGGTGTCTTGGGGTTTTTTTCCCTTAAAAAGTACATTTGGAAGATAATTCAATATTTCCATCAATTCTGTGCTGTGTTAGGGAGAGCTTTTCTGAGGAAAGTGTGAGGGGTGGGTGGCAGGAGGACTCAAGTCCCCTTCTTTAATTATGACCCGAAGTTGAGCTGAGAATCCCCTGTGTAAATCATGGACTGGTTTCTTTTTGAGTGGTACAGGGAGTTGAGTTTATCAGTTTCAGATGGCAGGAAGGGAAATGACATCACTGAAAATTATTTGATTTGCCCAATGTATAAAGTGACATCCAGGATTACTTGGAGCCCATAAACTTACAATATTTACCCATTTTATTTAGTGTAGGACTCCAGAGAAAGGAGTTCTGTTCTGGGGCTTTCTGGTCTCATTATTTCACAGTAACTCAGATCCTGGGTGCTGGATCTGAGGCTGATTGGGCTTTTTTTTCCTCTGCTCAGTAGTAACTATAATTTTAAGTACCAGTTTGCACAAAGCTTTTCTGAAGTATGTAAAACAGAGAAATCCTAATGAAATTCCTCTCTATTTTGCTGAAAGTTAGAAATACAGTAGCACAAAAGGAGGTATGATGGTGCTAACTTAATTCCCATTTTTTATAGTGAATACTTTAGTATTCTTTCTCCCAGTTTGCTATTATTTAGTCAAACACAGTCTTTAAAATTAGTATTTATAATAACAATTCTCAGTGCTTAATTTCCTTTAGAAATTTCCCACTTACTTTTCTTCTGGAATAAAACACCAAGAACAATGTTACTTCATATTGTATTTTATACTGACCCAAAAAAAAAGAAGAGTGGGGAAGATTCTCTTGAAGCTTGCAGTCCAGCAGAAGACTCACAAGTGAAACTGTTCGAGGTAACTTAAATTTCGAGCAGAAGTCCCCATTAATTTCCTGGTGCTCATTAAATGCTCCTGAGAGTGTTGCAATTGCAGTTACAACAGCTCACCCTCCCTGTGCCCTGAGCCCACACTCCCAGCCTGGAGTCACCTTGACTCCAGCACAGCTTGAAAGCTCCTGGGAAAAATTAATACTTTGAAAGATGGAGCACATGAGAGGCAAAGAACATTGATCTAAACCTGTGATAAGCATCCAGCACTATTGAGAGCAATCATTATTGAATCACATGTGAAAACATGTCAACATGTTTCAGCTGGGAGTTTTTTGGAGGGTCAAAAGTACAGGAGTCAGGTGACAAGGGATTGCTCTGGTGCTGCAAAGTGGCTGAGCAGGTTGGATGCTTTGCAGTTCGTACAGTTGAGAAGGGTAATTTTTTTTTTCTCTAATTTAAAAGATGAAAGAGACCCATTTGTGCAACAGATGATAGGTGCACAAAAGTTCACGTGTCTTTGTTATTACATTGCTTACTTGGGTTCTCAGTGTAGGGCAGGAAGCCTGCTGTTGGATAGAATCCATTTTGGGGATCCCTTTTACTCTCCTGGTGTTTATCTTGCAGAATAATGTTGGGATGTCACCTCTGGTTCCCCTCCAAGCTTAGGAAGGTCTGCTAGAAAAATTTCAGCCCCCAGTGAAAGAAAATACCCTTCAATAACTGTGAGCAAATAACTGCATTCCCCACAAAATCTGATGATCCCCAAATTAAAAACAAACCAATCCCGTTATCAAATATGCCAGAGTCTATAGGTAAAACTGCAGGGTGTGATTTGTGGTTTGTGTGTGAGATGATGAATTTGGGGGGCAGCTGAAAGAGAAGAGTGGTGAATGTTCAACCTTCCTTGGTGCTGTTTATCTGCTTCCTCAGGCTTTGGTGTGTTTGAGTTATCTTGACATCACAGTGGCTGTAGAGGCACACAGAGCATGATTTTATACTTTATACAGAGCATTATTCCATATATTAATTTATTTTATTTTATACATTATTCTATACTGGCATGTACCAGAAATTCGATATAATTCTATACAGGAAAGTGTATTTGCATTTTGTATTTTGTATTTCCCTGTATTTAATGCAGGAATAGTGCTGAGCATGTTTACGTTCATGAATGAGTTTTGAAACATGGTGCTTTTTCACAACTTGGTGATTGTCCAACAGATTCAAATATTTTGCCAAAACTCAGCACTCAGCCAAATCATGTGGGCCCTCCATCCAGCCTTGCTGTATTCAAACACATTTTGCATTTTTAGTGTTGGGAAGATGAGAATTGTGATGGAAACGACTCATCCCGATAGGAGAGAAGCATTTTTATGGATTATCTGCAGTGTGTTTGGCTGCCAGGAAAAACTTTAAAAGTCAGATTTAATTCAAGGAATGAGCTTAAATTCATATGGCATTTTTTTCCTCCTCCTCCTCCTCCTCCTCCTCTTCCTGTGGGAGTATTCAGTATTCTGCCATGGCAGGGAACTGCATTTAGGATATTAATGAGTGTATTTCACCCCCGTCCACTTGTGTGCCTTATTAGCTCATCTCTTGGAAACAATTCGGAAGTTTACTGTCTTGTGAACATTAAAAAGCACTGACATGGCAGAGTCTGAGGAGAGAAAAAAATCCCAGGCTTCTTCCCAACAGTATTCTGCATCCCTAAATTCCCTACTACGACATGCATTGAGAAAACTTGGTGTGGTTATTTCGTTATTAAAATTATTAAAATTCCTCAGGATTAGTATCAAATTTATTGCATCTACAATGTTTTAGAAGAAGACTAACTGGATATCATGCAAGTAAAATTTACTATTAAAGTTATTTGCATCTCAAAAACAAATACAAACTTAATGTTGTGAATCCCATATTTGAGTACAACTGTTTAAAATTCTGTACTAAATTGATAACTCAGCTGTTAATTATTGGCTAAGCAGCATTTCCAAAGAATTGAGTCTATTATTAATATATTAAACTGCATTAAGAGACAAGCTGATAATGAGCTAATGAACCCAGATAAGCAGGGGAGCAGGAGATTTTCCTGTGAATAACTGTGGTGCTCACACAGGTTTGAGCTTTGCCACACTACCTGAAATCCTGGGAAATCTCACACAGGCTTAGGGAGCCACAGAGGAACTGGCAGACTTTCATATAACACAGCATGTGTGAGTGCAGGATCAACTCAATAAATGGTTTTGTCATGTGTGAGTGCAGTTTAAACTCAATAAATGGTTTTGTCATGTGTGAGTGCAGTTTAAACTCAATAAATGGTTTTGTGCTGCACTTGGAGGCTCCAGACAGAGCTGCTCCCCACCGGAGCATCAGCAGCTGCTGGCTGGCAGTGCACTGGGAGTTTATTTTATGGACTCTGGGCACAGCCTTGCCACTGGGACAGTGGTTTTACACAGGAAATCGGGCGTTTTATGAGACCCTGATTTCTTATGGGTGTGCATTGCGACACACACTGATTTATCTGTGTGTATGAGGTGGAATTCAATAATATATCTTAGCAAAATAAGTCCTTTCTTAGCCAAAAATGGAGTTTTTAGAAGTGCTTCACTTTAGGCAGGTGTTTCGATGCCATTAGCACGAATGTAATATTCAAAATGAGCATTTTGCTTCATTTTGCCCCAAACTCTGAATTTCTGTCGAAGCTGGAAAACTTTCTGTTGACTTCAGAGCAAGTTTGACACCTGAAAGCACAGTCACAAGTCGTGCAGATGAAACTTCTGAATGGGTCATTTGCTCTTAAAATACTTTTAATGGGAAATACGACATTTTGGAATTACATTAATTTCCTGTAGTTGGTAAAACGTTTGCTAGACCCAGCAATACAAAGCCTGCCCAGTATAAATAAATGCCAATTATTAAAATATGTCGAGCCTTGGAGCCAAGCACGGGCCTGAGAATGTTTACACTCTTATCAATTTAATTGTGTGGGGCTGTTCCAGCTGACAAAGCTCTGCTATCTGCTGTCCCACACGGAGTTTTTGGGGATATTTTGGAATCAATGACTTCCTTCAGGCTCGGGAGGCACCTCCAGGGCTGGAGCAGACCTTCCCCTCCTCTACAGCCAAAGGGGGCAAAGGGCTCTCCCAAGAAGTCAGCCCTGGCTGATTACAAAATCCAAAGTGATTCATTGCCTGTCTATCAGGATCCTATTTTAAATCACAATGATTCATAGAGAGCAACGCCTACATTTTATATAATGAGCTACTTTTACAATACTGCCAGCACAAGTCAGGGACGTGCTGCTTGTTTCTGCTTTCCTCAAATCCCTCACAACCAGCAGGGGCCACATCTCAGTTCCACTGAGGCACCTTGTAAATGCCAATTTATGCTCTTTGCCCTGCAGAATCCTGCACAGGTTTATCCTGATTTTATATCACCAGCCAGATACTTTATTTTCCAGATTTTTGTGCATCTGGAGTTGTTTTTGTGTTGCTGGTTTTGGATTTTTTGGGGGGATTTTTTGGTTTTGGGGTGGATTTTTTTTCGTTTTTTGTTTTTGGTTTTTTTTCGGGTTTTTTGTGGGTTTTTTGTTCAAAGAAACAAATAACAATCATTTCTATTTTGAAAAATGGGAGAGATTTTTAAAGGCATTTTCAAACAAAAGGCATTGGAAGAGAAGCCTCTCATCAGGACTACTTTTAGTTTCAGCCCGTGGTGCCTCACAAAGCATGACTGGAACTAGGAAATTGCAGTTTCTCTGCTCAGGGATTTCTAAGAACTCTTTGAGGATCTTTTCCCACAAACTTTGAATCTGATTTAACAGAAATTATCTCCTCATCTCACTGTTCTGCCAGTGCTGGGACTGCAGTAGAGCACTTTTATTTCTCTTGTAGTCACATTTTAACACCAGGAGCCCAACTCTGTCACTTCCAGAAATTTGTAGTCAAGTTCTCCATGATTTTGAAGTGCTGTTCCTTTTAAATCTGACCTACCTGCCCATGAGTTTTTCAGATGTATAAATCAGTATTTCTTACACAGAAATTCCTGTGGTCCAATATTCTCAATTTCTATTTAAGCTACTGAGCACAGCCTTTCTTTCATACCCTGGAATAACCTGAAGTTTCATGGATGACTATCCAGTGTCAGAATGTAACAAACTCTACATTAACAAATTAAAATAGGATGAGAGAATTTGGGAGATATCTGAGTAGCCTGTGGCATTTTTTAACTTGTTTCTCATTTGCAATTATATTTGCAAGGGTTTATGTTGCTGCAAGGGTATAAAATGTTGCTATTCCAAGGAACCCAGGCCATTCTGTGTGAATTCCATGGAATAGAAAATATATTTAACACTAAGTAGCTCTATTATTCCCTGAATGGGCTTTTCTTCCTTGTTTCTATTAACAACTGCCTCTTAAACATTGTGGTAAATTTTATGGACTGTGCTTTTAGTGAGCACAGCTTGTAGTTATAATTCAGCTATAGGAATAAAATACATTTCCTACTGATTTACGAGTTGCTTTCTTTTGGCTTTTCCAAGTGTTTGGATTTATCCAATTTCTCCTGGTGTTTTACCGTGCAGCCTTGCTGGGAGGATGAATGGGCTGCCTCCCCCTTCTGCTTTTATTTGGTTTTTTGGAGGATGTGGCTGTCACTGGACTCTGCAGCCCTTGCATCTCTGGCATTTCTCATCCCAGTGCTGGTTAGACTGGGAGATGGGGCAGGAATGAGCATCCCCCAGCAGAGTTTGAAGGTGCTCAGGGTGTGAAGGTG